CACAGCAGGGCAGGAAGCAGCCAGGCCACTGGCCCCTGATCTCACATTCTTCTTGTGGAGCCTGGGACAAGAGCCTTGGCCTGAATGGGAGGTAGCAACTGGGGCTGGATACTGGGTCGGTCCTCTGCCTGGAGGCCCATGAACCACCCCCGCGCCCCAGCCACTCCCCTGTAAGATGGACATGATCTTAATACCTGTCCATGTGGGTGGCTGAGACGGTTCAATGACATTGGACGTGCACGGTGCTTAATACAATGCCTGGCACCTATTAAGAGCTCACCACTGGTCGGGTCGTTTTGTTTTGCCCTCCTTCTTGAGAATGCTGCCCTATGCATACACAGGTGCAGGTGGGAGTCCTTAGGGCACGGGGGATGGGAGACGGGGGAAGCTGCTCCCCAAAGTCCCCTGCGAGGGTCCCGGGGCGGAGGCGCACTAGCCTGCTGGGAAGGGGTTGTCCTCAGTGCTTTGCGCCAGGTCATCCACTGGGCTGAGCTGGGCCCCTGGGCTGTGGCTGCGGGCATTAGCCCCACTCTGTGAAAGGGAGGCTCTGACATGTCAGAGGGCCACTGCATGCCAGGCCCTGGGGGTGACAGCCCAGAAGGACCTGCGGCTCATTTTCAACCTGTCCTCCAGCCAGCAGTGAAGATGGACGCAAGCCTACAGTTCTGCACAAAGTGAACAGTGGTTCATTTCTTTTAAGCTTGTTTACTTTCATCTGCTTGCAAGGCAGAGAGAGAGAAAGAGAGAGGGAGAGGGGAGAATTTTCCATCTGCTGATTCCCTCCCCAGATGCCCACAACAGCCAGGGCTGGGCCAGATGCGCATTAGCCAGAGGCTAGATCAGAAGTAAAGTGTAATGAGACTTGAACCCACACCCGAATCTGCACTCTGACCTGGATGCAGTTGTCCCAAGCAGCAGCTCCAGCTGCTGTGCTACAACACCCGCCTCAATTTTCCTATCACAGGATTTCACACTCTGTTCCAGAAACTACCTAGACTGTGTGTGTCATATTTGCTGAACAGGGTTGATTTTTGTGCATTTTTCCTTTTTTTTTTTTTTTTTTTTTTTAAGATCTACTTATTTATTTGAAAGGCAGAGAGAGAGAGAGGTCTTCCATCTGCTGGCTCACTCCCCAGATGGCCGCAACAGCTGGAGCTGGGCCCATCTGACCCAGGAGTCAGGAGCTTCCTGGTCTCCCACATGGGTGCAGGGGCCCAAGGACTTGGGCCATCTTCTACTGCTTTCCCAGGCTATAGCAGAGAGCTGGATTGGAAGTGGAGAATCTGAGACTCGAAGCAGTGCCCATATGGGATGCCACCACCACAGGCGGATACCTAACCACAGCGCTGGCCCCTCATTTTTACATTTTACTATGGAAAATTTCAGTCACATGCAAAGGTAAAGATAGTAATACAGGGACAGGCAGGCTTTGTGGTGCAGTGGGTCAGGCCACCACTGGGGATGCATGCATCCATGTCGGAGTGCCAGTTTGAGTCCCTGATGCTGCCAATCCAGCTCCCTGATAGGCCTGGAATCCCGGCCACGGATGACAGCTCAGGGAGCTCAGTTGCTCCCACTACCTGGAAGACTCGGATAGAGTTCCTGGATCCTGGCTTTTGGCTTCTTCCTGGCCCAGCCTTCCACTATTGCCGCAATTTGGTGGGCTGAGCCAGCAGATGGAAGATTCATTTTCCTTCCTTCCTTCCTTCCTTCCTTCCTTCCTTCCTTCCTTCCTCCCTCCCTCCCTCCCTCCCTCCCTCTCACTCTCTCACTTTCTCACCCTCACCCTCACTCTGGTTTGACTAGCCATGCCTGGCTCTGTCTCACTCTCTCTGGGTTCGATTGGTTCTGCCTCTCTGTCACTTTGCCTTTCAAATAAATGCATAATTTTTAAAGAAAAATAGTGCAATGAATCCCTGTACCCAGACTTACAGCTCTCAACTTTGCTATTCTTATTCCATCTACCCCCTCTGCACCTGTAATTTTTTTCTGGAGTTTTTTTTTTAAGACAAATTCTAGACATCATACCATTTCACCTGTAAGTATTCCAGGATGGATCACAATAGATGAGGACTTTTAAAGAGTGTAACCACTGTTCCCTCCATTATCACACCTTACACATCAGCAATAACCCCTTAACCTCACCATGTACCCGTCTGTTAGCTGACTGGGAAGTGTTTTGGGTGTCATTGAAGAGGCGCTGTGGGAGGGGCTGCTAGTGAGTATGGCAGGCGGCCTGCACACACACCATGGTGGCTTGGCGCAGACGGCCTGGGAGCTCTTGTGCCAGTCTGAAGACAAGGAAGCTCATCCGGCTCACATGATAGGCAGGCGGAGCCCAGCGTGAGCCTGGAGACGGAACTCCAGGCGGCCACTTCCCTCCCTCGCCCCTGGGAGGGACAGGCGCCAGCTGGCCTTGGCCAGAGGTGGGGGCCCTGCACTGAGGTCTCTGAAGCCTGGGCCTGAACCTGCTCTGCTGCCCCGCCCACTCCCAGGCCCCGTCCAGGAACTACTCGTGCCCAGGGCTCATGTGCGTCTTCCAGAGCTACTCGTCCACAGGCCTGGTGCAACGTTCTATCTTCAACCTGCAAATCTACGGGGTCCTGGGGCTCTTCTGGACCGTTAACTGGGTACTGGCCCTGGGCCAGTGTGTGCTGGCCGGGGCCTTTGCCTCCTTCTACTGGGCCTTCCATAAGCCCCGAGACATCCCCACCTTCCCCCTGGCCTCTGCCTTCATCCGCACACTGCGGTAAGCCTGGGACAGGGGCTGCGGGATTGAAGTCCCCGGGGTGCCAGGGCCGCCTGCCTGACCGTCCAGCTCCCTCTGCAGGTACCACACTGGGTCTCTGGCGTTTGGGGCCCTCATCCTGACCCTGGTGCAGCTGGCCCGGATCGTCTTGGAGTACATCGACCACAAGCTGAGAGGTGAGCTCCAAGTCCGGTGCTGGGCAGCCGGGTCCTTGGCCAGGGCTCTCAGCGAGCAGAGAGCAAGCAGGAGCTGCCTCTGCCCCCAGGAGCCCAGAACCCTGTGGCCCGCTGCATCATGTGCTGCTTCAAGTGCTGCCTCTGGTGTCTGGAGAAGTTCATCAAGTTCCTGAACCGCAACGCCTACATCATGGTGAGCCGACAGTGCAAGCGCCCCTCCTCCCCGCTCCAGTGCCCCCGGCCCGGCCCAGGCAAGCTCAGCACAGGCGATGCCCACCCTCCTGCCCTCCCTCCCTCAGATCGCTATCTACGGCAAGAATTTCTGCGTCTCGGCCAAGAACGCCTTCATGCTGCTCATGCGAAACATTATCAGGTCAGGCTGTCCCCCCCACCCACGGAGTGGAGGGGTCCCCTTAGATCACCCACCCACAGCTGTGCGTGCTGTGCTGGGAAGGGCCCTGCGTGCCATTGGAGGCCCGGCTAGCACCACTGGAAATGCGAACAGTTTTCAGTTTGCACCTGTCGAGCGACGTATGTAGCCCAGCACCCACCCCCACCACGGCCTCTCACCCCCCCCCCACTCGCCCTAACTTCCGGTACAGGGTGGTGGTCCTGGATAAAGTCACAGACCTGCTGCTGTTCTTTGGGAAGCTGCTGGTGGTCGGAGGTGTTGGTACGCGCCAAGGCCAAGCCTGGTGGGGACAGAGGGTCGGGGTGCCTGGCGGCCTCAGAGGAAAGCCCTAACCTCTAGTCCTCTCCCACAGGGGTCTTGGCCTTCTTTTTTTTCTCGGGCCGAATCCAGGGACTGGGTAAAGACTTTGAGAACCCCCACCTCAACTATTACTGGCTGCCCATCATGGTGAGTGACCCCGCCCCCTCTGCCGCACACCCCGACTTTCCAAAGGAACCTAGCAGCCCCATTGGGCTTTCTGTCTTCCAGACCTCCATCGTGGGGGCCTACGTCATCGCCAGTGGCTTCTTCAGTGTTTTTGGCATGTGCGTGGACACCCTCTTCCTCTGCTTCTGTGAGTGACAACCCCGGCCACACACACACACACACACACACACACCGTGGACACCCTCTTCCTCTGCTTCCATGAGTGACAACCCTGCCTGTGCACACACACACACACACACACACACAACAAACACCCCTGTCCAGTCCAGCCTCAAGGTTCCAGGCTGTTCAGGTGTTTCCTAGAGACTTGGTGTTTCCAGAAACAGCGTTTTGTGAACCAGGGGAGGCAGAGGGAGTCCCTTCTGACATCCTGTGCCCAGGGGTTTGGGAAGAAAGGAAAGAGCGAACCTCCCCACTTAAGGGGCCGCAAGGGGGACTTCCCAGCAGGTGGCTGTAATGAGGGCGCCTCCTTACCCCGCGGGGTGCATCACCGTGCCGCGCGTTTGCAGTTTATCCTCAGCATCACTCTAGGGTGATCCCACTTACAGTCCACAAAACCCGGAGAAAAAAACCCGGGAGCCACACAGGCCCACCCAGCGGGAGCAGGGGCGGACTTCCCACCCCTTCTAACCCGTCTTCGTTGCGACTCAGTGGAAGACCTGGAGCGGAACGACGGCTCCCGGGACCGGCCCTATTACATGTCCAAATCCCTTCTGAAGATTCTGGGCAAGAAAAACGAGGCGCCTCCGGGGGACAAAAAGAGGAAGAAGTGAGGGCCCTGGCCCTGACCCAGGACTGCACCCGCCCGTACCCTCGCCCAGCCACACTTCGCCTCACAGATCTCTATTTTGTAGTATAAAGATTTTATTAAAGATTGAGATTTTTGTTTCTCAGTCTGTGACTTCTACTCCAAGACGTCCGGCCTTTTTCCCCCTCCGTCTCGCGCCGGCTCTTTAAAAGTCGGCCCCGCCCCTCGTGACGTGGCCCGGGTGCCATAGCCAATCATAAGGCTTGGACGGAGGAATGCCGCCCAACTTCGCGCGGGTCAATTTGCTCTCCGCCGAGTCACGCGCTCCGGCGCCTTTGGGAGAACCATTCAGGAGGTCGCGCTCTCGGGCGCTACCGAATCGCATGGGCGGGCCAGGATGCTTTCGGGCCAATTAGAGGCGCGGCGGTGCGGCTGCGCGCCCCGCGGCCTGGCTGCTCGGCGCGGGGCGGGCTTGAGGGTGACAACTCGGCGTTTAAAGGGCCCGGGTCAGCTGATCGGCTCCAGCCCATGTCTAGTTTCGCGGAGAGGGTCGCGGCCGCCTGAGGAAGCGATGACCGGCGAGCGGCTGGGCTCAGCGCTCCTGGCCGGACCCTGGGCACCGCGGACGCTGGGTTTGCGGAGAGGCGGTAGGGCGCAGGTGTTTGCGGCTCTCTTCCAGCTGCTGTTGACTCTGGCCGGGCTCGAAGCTGGGGCTAAGAATGACTTCAGCCTGGTGAGTCACCCCTCGTCAATCTCCATCCCTACTGCCGCGGGTGGTCGCTGCCCGGTCCCGCGATGGGACGCCCCTCGCTTCTAGAGGCCGCTCCGCACCCGCTCTCGGCCCCTCTTCCTCCCCAGGTCCGCGTTCCTTCTCTCCCCGTGGCGCCTCTTCCGCTCCCAGCCACCAGCCTCGCTCCAAACTCTCTTTTCAGGTTCCCCTTTCCTGCACTAGGATCCCTAGTGCTTCTGGGAATCCCAGTTACCCTCACTCCCCTGAGAACCCGAGTCCGAGTCGGTCCCAGAACCCTGACTCAGGCTGGTCCGTGTTGACCCTTGCTCCTCCCCGTGGCAGGTGCAGCCGCTGGTGACCATGGAGCAGCTGCTGTGGGTGAGCGGGAAACAGATCGGCGAAGTGGACACTTTCCGCATCCCGCTCATCACGGCCACCCCTCAAGGCACTCTCCTAGCCTTCGCTGAGGCCAGAAAAATGTCGGCATCCGACGCGGGGGCCAAGTTCATCGCGCTGCGGAGGTCCACCGACCAGGGTATGAGGATGCTTGGATCCAAAGAGCAAGTGCTGGGTTGGATGCATGGGGAGCGCGCACTGCTCAGGGGCTCCCAGGGGTAGGAAGAACCTGAGGAGGGAAGGCGTCCAGGGCCGTGATCTGGACATTGGGATTGGCAATAAGTGAATGTTCATTCAAAAAATATTTATTTAGTAAAATGGCACAGTCTTACCTGTGGCGGGATCTACGCCCTGGACACCGTCCTAGGCTCTAGCCCTCTGCGACCACTGCTGGAAACCAGGTGACCCCATGGCCCAACCACAGGTGCCAGTTCCACCCCCACCCTAATGGGATTCACTGCACCTGCTTCCCTGCCTGTCCCCCCTCCCCCCGCAAAGGTTTAACAGGAGCTGTTCCCAAACACGTGCTCTCTTGATCTCTCTTTCTTACTCTCTCACCCTCTTTCCCTGGCCCATTGGGCTTCTTACACCCAACAATAAACCTTTCCTCTAAAAAAAAATGATTGGGCACCTACTACATACCAAGTCCTGTTTTGGGGTGTTTTTGTTTTTCATTTAATGGCAGAGTGACAGAGAGAGGGGTAGCGGAGAGAAAGAAATCTTCCAACTGCTTATTCACTGCCCAATGGCCACCACAGCTGGGGCTGGGCAGGCCAGAATCAGGAACCTGGAACTCCATCTGGGTCTCCCACGTGGGGCCTCTTCCTCTGCTTTCCCGGCTGTGTTAGCAGGGAGCTGTATCAGAAGCAGAGCAGCTGGGATTTGAACAGGTAGAGCAATACAGGATGTCATCATTATAGGTAGTGGCTTAAGCCCCACTGGGTACCCCATTCAAGGGAACGCAGCCATGAACAGACCCAAATCCCTGCCCCTTCTGGGAGTTATGTTCTGTTGGGAGGAGCCCCACAATGAGCATACTAAATAGATTTGTGTGTGTGTGTTGAATGGGATCGATGCTAGAGGCGCGGGGTATGCCCGTGGTGGACTGCGACTGTAAACAGGTGACATTCCAGCAAAGACTGGAAGGAGGCGAAGAGTGAGCCGGGACGAAGGGTGCAGACCTGAGCGGAGGCCTGCAGGAGGGGAGGTATTTGAGGAATGGGAAGGATCTGCTGTCGCTGGATGGAGTGAGCAGGAAGAGCAGATAAGATGCCGATGGTCACGGGGCCCTGGGGCCACTGTAAGCCTTGGGTGCCTGGCTGGTGGCAGGACATTAACAGAAAGTGGTCGGAAGGGGACCTTGTGCGTTCTCACGGTGCTTTCTCCCTGTTTTCTTTCTCAGGCAGCACATGGTCCTCTACTGCATTTATTGTAGATGACGGGGAAACCCCCGACGGGCTCAACCTGGGGGCCGTGGTGAGCGACGTGGAGACGGGAGTGGTGTTCCTTTTCTACAGCCTCTGCGCTCACAGGGCCGGCTGCCAGGTGGCCTCCACCATGCTGATATGGAGCAAGGATGACGGCATTTCCTGGAGCTTGCCCCGGAACCTCTCGCTGGATATTGGCACTGAGATGTTTGCCCCTGGCCCAGGCTCTGGCATCCAGGTCTCTGCTGAGAGATGAGTGGACGGGCCTGCCTTGCGGACACACTGGGGGCATGCCTTTGAATGGGCTCCTTCCCGGGGAAGACGCTGTGCATCCGGTCTTCTGTCTTGGGTGGGATTCCCTGGTAAGAAAGGATGTCCTGGGAGGAACCCCCTAGCAGGGAGGACAGAGCTTTGCCACTGGCTTCCCACCTGGGGTTGTACCTGCTCTTAGGCAAGGTAGGCAAAGACACCCCTAACTTCAGGCAGACCCAGGCCAGTGAGGGGGTGTAGTTTGGTAAGTGAGCTTAGGTTTGGGTTTTTTGGTTGTTTTCTTAAAGATTTATTTATTTATTATTTTTAAAAAATATTTATTTGAAAGGCAGAGTTACAGAGAGAGGGGATACAGAGAGATCTTCTATCTACTGGTTCTCTCCTCAGATGGCCGCAATGGCCAGAGCTGGGCCAATCCGAAGTCAGGAGCCAGGAGCTTCTTCCGGGTTTCCCATGCAGGTGCAGGGGCCCAAGGACTTGGGCCATCTTCTACTGCTTTCCCAGGCCATAGCAGAGAGCTGGACTAGAAGTAGAGCAGCAGGGACTAGAACCGGTGCCCATATGGGATGTTGGCACTGCAGGTGCCAGCTCCTATTTATTTCAAAGGCAGAGTTACAGAGAGGCAGAGGCAGAGAAAGAGGAATCTTCCATCCCCTGATTCACTCTCCAGATGGCTGCAATGGCTAGGCTGGGCCAGTCTGAAGCCAGGAGCCAGGAGCTTTTTCTGGGTCTCCCATGGTATGGTGACCCAAGGACTTGGGCCATTCTCTGCTGCTTTCCCAGGCCATTGGCAGGGAGCTGGATCAGAAGAGGAGCAGGCAGGGCCTGAACTGCCGCCCGTGTGGGATGCCGGCACCACAGGAGGTGGCTTTACCCGATACACCACAGCACCGGCCCCCACGGGTTGGGTTTTAGCCCTGAAGCTGCCCTGTGGCTGTGTCCCTCTGTGCACAGCATGTCTCAGAAAGAGCTGCTTAATTCAGGCAGTCTGTCTGTGGGGTCCTTCCAGGACCTCAGTGAGGAAGGGCGGACCTGAAGGGGAACACACATGTCCTCATGCCTGGGAGGCCATGAGCTCCCGACCCTGTCTCAGAGCCCCCACTGCGTCGCCGTCTGTGACACCCAGCTCCGCTCCCCACAGAAACAGCGCGAGCCACACAAGGGCCGGCTCATCGTGTGTGGCCACGGGACGCTGGAGCGAGATGGCGTCTTCTGTCTCCTGAGCGATGACCACGGCGCCTCCTGGCGCTACGGCGGGAGGATCACTGGCATCCCCTACGGCCAGCCCAAGCGGGAGAACGATTTCAACCCCGATGAGTGCCAGGTCAGGAGCCCCGGCTAGGGGCAGGGTGGCGGGGTGGCACCCACTCCCTGGTCTGCCCTGTGCTCAGAGCACCAGTGAGCACACAGACCCGGGAGCTGGCCGCCCAGCTTGGTGCCACCCAGGCTGGGTGCCCTGAAGGCTGGAGTGTTGGCCCTGCCCCCTCCCTATCCCGCTGAGGCCCTGTGCTCTCTCCTCAGCCCTATGAGCTCCTGGATGGGTCCGTGGTCATCAACGCGCGGAACCAGAACAACTACCACTGCCGCTGCCGCATCGTCCTGCACAGCTATGACGGCTGTGATACGCTGAGGCCCCGGGACGTGACCTTTGACCCTGAGCTCGTGGACCCCGTGGTCGCGGCAGGAGCCCTTGCCACCAGCTCCGGCATTGTCTTCTTTTCCAACCCAGCCCATCCCGAGTTCCGTGAGTGCCCGATGGGTGGGGCCGGCTGGGGAGCCTGGTGTCTCCAGCAGACCTGGGCCCAGACACGCCCTCCCTCCCCTCCCCTCTCCCCAGGAGTGAACCTGACCCTCCGCTGGAGCTTCAGCAATGGCACCTCATGGCAAAAAGAGACAGTGCAGCTGTGGCCAGGGCCCAGTGGCTACTCATCGCTGACAGCCCTGGAGGACAGCGTGGATGGCGAGAAGCAGGCGTCCCAGCTCTACGTCCTGTATGAGAAAGGCCAGAACCACTACACAGAGAGCATCTCTCTGGTCAAAGTCAGCATTTACGGGGTGCTCTGAGCTGCGGCCCCGCCCCAGAGGAGAAGGCCTGGACTCCGCCTTCAGGCGCACGGTTCTTAGAAGGCCAGCTGGAGGTGCCCAGTGACGGTCCCACGTTCCTGTGGGCCCTAACCTTTTGCAAAACCAACTTCTTTTTGGTAGGACAATCCCTCTGTTAGCACTGAAGCCACTTCCTGTCCCACACAGGAAGTCCTGCTCTCACCCGGAAGTGCTTCCTCTGCTCGTTGCCGGGTGTGACCCTGGCCCCTCTCGGCCCTTCCAGGACAGTGATTTTTGTCCTTTTTTGGGCTGAGCCAGGTGGGCCTGTGGAATCGAATAAATGTGAACTCAGGGACCTGAGGAAGGCGGAGCCTCCTCTCTGGGGTTGGGGTGAGAATCTGGCTTTGGAGAGGGTTGGTGGAGGTTGCCAGGGGGCAGGATGTTTGGTTTCAGGGTAAGGAACTAGGTGCACCCTCCTGCCCATCACTATTTATGAATCAAACTGTAGGAACTCAGCGTTTTAATGAAGATGAACGTGTTAGAGCCTCCGTGTTTCTGTGCGTGTTTTCCTGAAGTTGCGAGACCGGGAGTGAGCTCTGGGGGAGGCGCTGAGTGCTGTGGCCTGTGAGACCTGGATGTGGCAGCTCAGCCCCTTCCCTCCGACGTTTCTGCCTCCCACAGAAAAACAGGCTGATCTTTGGGGGTAACGAGGAGAGAGAGCTGGGCCTGACACCTAAGTGCAACACTGCTGTGCTTTGAATCTCTCTTCTTTTTAATTAATTTACTTTAAAGGCAGAGTTGCTATCCACTGGCCCCCTCCCCAGATGCCTGTAGTGGCCAGGGCCGGGCCGGGGGCCAAACCCAGAAGCCCGGAACTCAGTCCAGGTCTCCCGCATCACCACTGCTTCCCACAGTCTGCATTAGCCGAGAGCTGGAGTCAGGAGCCAGCGGCAGGCTTCCAACCCACTCCAGTATGGGGAGCAGATATCTCAGCTGCTAGGCTAAATGCCTGCCCGTGTTTTATATTTCTAAGATGTGGTGGGATACTGACCCTGAAACAGGGAGCAGGTGTATAAAACGCAGGTAGGAAGTCGGTCCTAGGCCAGCCCGGCAGGGAAGCAAGTGCCGCCTGTGACGTGGTGTGAGAAAATGGCAATTTTGTGTTACAGCAGATGCTGCAGAAAGGGTGGAGCAGAGGCCAGCACCGTGGCACAGTGGGCTAAGCCAGGAGCTTCGATGCTGCCATCCCGTATGGGAACCAGTTTGAGTCCCGGCTGCTGCCCTTCTGATCCAGCTCCCTGCTAATGTGCCTGGGAAAGCAGCAGGAGATGGCACAAGACTTGGTCCCCTGCACCCACCTGGGAGACACAGATGGAGTTCCTGGCTCCTGGCTTCTGCCTGCCCAGCCCTAGCTGTTGTGAACCAGGGGATGGAAGAGCTCCCTTTCTCTTTCTCTCTGTCTCTTCCTCTTTCTGTTGCCCTGCCTTTCAAAATAAATCTTAAAAAAAAAAAAAAAAAAAAAAACTATCTTGGAGCCAGCACTGTGGCATAGTGGGTTAAGCTGCTGCCTTCAGTGCCAGCATCCCATAGGGGCACCAGTTCAAGTCCCAGCTGCTCTACTTCTGATCCAGCTCCTTGCTAATGCACCTGGGAAAGCAAAATAGGATGGCCCAAGTGCTTGGACCCCTGCACCTTTGTGGGAGACCCAGAAGAAGCTCCTGGCTTCGGATCAGCCCAGATCCAGTCATTGCAGCCATTAGGGGAGTGAACCAGTGGATGGAAAACCACTCTCTCTGACTCTCCCTCTCTTTCTCTCTCTCTCTCTCTAACTCTGCCTTTCAAATAAATAAATAAATCTTAAAAAAAAAAAAAAAAAACAACCTGGGGCCAGCACTGTGGCACAGCAGGTAAAGCTGCTGCCTATAGTGCCAGCATCTCATATGGGCACCAGTTCAAGTCCCAGCTGCCCCACTTCCGATCCAGCTCTCTGCTATGGCCTAGGAAAGCAGCAGAAGATGGCCTTGGGCCCCTGCACCTGCGTGGGAAACCTGGAAGAAGCTCCTGACTCCTGGCTTTGGATCAGCCCAGCTCCAAACATTGCAGCCATCAGGGGAGTGAACCAGCAGATGGAAGACCTTTCTCTCTCTGCCTCTGCCTCTCTGTAACTCTGCCTTTCAAATAAATAAATAAATCTTAAAAAAAACTGAGATAATTCCTTTAATTAAAAAATATTTTTAAAAAACCTCTCTTTGCCTTTTAAATAAAGTGAAAATAAATAATAAAATGACCATTATGGTTATTATAAAACCACAATGCCTTTGCACACCCCAGCAATTAATAACATATCATCTAATACCCAGTTGACATTCAAATTTCATCAAATGGCTCAAAAATGTCTTATTTATAGTTGATTTGTTCAAATCAGGATCTAAAAAACAATGTGCACTTTGCCTTTTGCTGTATCTTCAGTCCCTCCTAGTCTACAATAGTCTGCTCTCCCTTCTGTTTTCAATGCTGTCTAGGCAGAATAGCGTCATTGTGGAGAATCTCCGTCTCTGGATTTGTCAGTGTGCCTTCTTGAGGTCACTTGTCTTCCTCCGCCTCTCATATTTCCAGTTACCAAACCTGTGACGGTTTGACTGGCGGGCAAGATGGCTTCCCAGGTGCCGTGTGCTTCCTGCCGGGCCCGCTCAGGGGCACAGCAGAGGCTGCAGCCTCCGTTCCGTGGAGTGAAACAGATTCAGCGGTGGGGGCAGACGGCCGGAGTCCGGCTCCTCCCTTGTAAGCTCCCCACCGTGGACGCTCCCGATGGTGTGTTACCCGTGGGTGACTTTGTCCTGGTCGGTTATTTCATGAGGAGTTGCAAAATAGTGATTTTAAAATTCTGCTCTTCCTCATTTGTGAGCATTAGCTGAAACTCTTCAGTAAAACAAACTTTTGGGGGCAGGCATTTGGCCCAGCAGTTACAACACCTCTTGGGACCCCTGTGGCCCACATCAAAGTGTGCTCTGCTTCCCATTCCAGCTTCCTGCTAATGTGCACCCTGGGAGGCACAGGTTATGGCTCAAGTAGTCAGGTCCCTGCCACCCACATGGGAGACCTGGATTGAGTTCTGGGCTCCTGGACTGGCCCCAGCTGTTACAGGCATTTTGGGAGTAAAGCAGAGGTTGGGAGATCTCTCTCTGTCTCCCGCTCAGTCTCTGTGCCTTTCAAGTAAATAAGAAAAGGTATTTAGAAAGCTTTTCTCTGGGTCCAGCAATGTGGCATAGCAGGTTTCAACCACTGCCTGCAACACCAGCGTCCCATGTGGGCACCCATCCGAATCCTGGCTGCTCCACTTCTGACCCAGCTCCCTGCTAATGTGCCTGAAAAAGCAACAGAAGATGGCCTGGGTCCTTGGGCCCCTGTACCCACATGGGAGACCCAGAGGAAGCTCCAGGCTCCTGGCTTCGGCCTAGCCCAGCTGCAGCCATTTGGGAAGTGAACCAATGGATAAAAACTCTTTCTCTCTTCCAAGTCTTCCTCTCTGTGTAACTCTGCCTTTCAAATAAATTGATATTTTTTTAAAAAATGTTTTCCTTGTCAAGGCTGTTGGCTTACCCTGAAACACGGTAAGCAAAACAGTATAGGAATTGCATAATAAATGACCACATTTCCCCCTTTAATGATCAGTTTTCAGAGTAAAGTTCAGTAATCATTCGCCTTTGTCAGTAAACCACTTTGTTACCCCATGGGACCAAACAGGAAGAATCTGTTGGCCCCAGGAAGTGGGGGAAGGGCATCCTATGAGCTCAACTGAGGCAGCCTGGGGGCCACCTTCCCAGCGCAGATGGCCACATAGCTGGGGAGGCGCAGCAGCCGGCATGCCCCGCTGCGGGACTTCCTCCACCAAGCCTAGCTGACAGTGTTGGGGAGGACGCTGGGAGTGTCTGCCCCGTGAGCAGCTGGCTGTGCAGCAGGTGCGGCTGCAGGCTTGCAAGCAGCTGCCTTCGTTCTTCACGGCCTGAGCATCCTCGGTCGTCCTCCAGGGCACCCTGCCCAGGCACCGGCAGCTGAGCAGAAACCAGAGCCGGGCCCAGAGCACACCTGCAGCGCCAGTGTCTCTAGAACAAGGTCCCAGAACGTGTGTTTCTAACAGGAACTGCGGAGACTGCCGCTGGGCTACCGGGGCAGCATCGTAAGAACGCTCCTGGACGGTAAACCTAGATTTAAGAAGAGATTTTGAAATACTGAAGAAAAAAAAATCTCAGAACATGTAGGCTGGGTGTTTGGTGCAGCAGTTAAGTCACTGCTGGGGATGCCCACGTCCCAGATCACAGTGCCTGCCTTGGAGTCCTGCTCTTCCCCTACGACCGCAGAAGGCTGAGGCCAGTGAGGTGCTGGCTCAGGGTGCTGGGCCCCTGCCACCCACGTGGGAGATGCAGGAGGGGCGCAGTGGGTTAAGTCACCACCTGGGATGCCCACATGCCATATCGGAGTGCAGGTTTGAGGCCAGACTACTCCTCATCTGATCCAGCTCCCTGCTAATGCGCCTGAGAAGCAGTGGAAGACGGCCCAAGTGCTTGGGCCCCTGCCACCCATTTGGGAGACCCAGATGAAACTCCTGGCTCCTGGCTTCATCCTGGCCCAGTCCTAACTGCTGCAGCCATTTGGGGAGTGAACCAGCAGATGGAAGATCTCTCTCTGTCTGTCTGTCTCTCTCTCTCTCTGCCTCTCTCTCTCTCTTCTGTTTGCTTTTCAAATATTTTTTAATGCCAGGAAGAATTTGTGTCTTAGGAAATGAAAACCAGTTAACAGCTGTCGGGAACTAAACCTGCCCTTATCTCCCTCAGCATCTTGGCTGCCTGCCACACCACACAGCGTGTGCAGGGTGATTCATCCACAAGGAAAGACAAATATAGAATGCTGAGGCCTTGGGCCCCTGGTTCTCCAAGTGTTCCTGAACAGGTAGCAACAACCTGGGTGTAAGTTAGTAATGGCTGACCTGCCCACCACCCCGCTCCCCAGGCCAATCCCGGGCTGTGGAGGTGGGGCCCAGCTCCCAGAGCAGGAACAAGTCCTCTGGTGATTTGGGCCGGCACTGTGGCATTGTGCACCTGCTGACGCCAGCATCCTGTATCAGGTTCCAGTCCTGATTCGAATCTCAGCTCCTCTGCTTCCCATCCAGCTCCCTGCTAATGTGCCTGGGAAGGCAGTGGAAGATGGCCCAAGTACTCAAACCCCTTCCACCCAGAGGGAGACTCGGATAGAGTTCCTGGCCTCAGACTTCATTCTGGCCCAGCTCAGACCGTTGCAGCTATTTGGGGGAAACCAGAAGTTGAAGACAGAGATCTGTAACAGCCCAGGCTGGGCCAGACTGAAGCCAGGAGCCTTGAGCTTCATCCAGGTCTCCCACGTGGGTGCAGGGGCCCAAGCATTTAGGTCATCCTCCGCTGCTTTCCCAGACCATAGCAGAGAGCTGGATGGGAAGTGGAGCAGCCGGGAATCAAACTAGTACCCATGGGGGAATGCTGGCCCTGCAGGAGGCAGCTTTACCTGCTACA